GTTCAGCGGGGGGAGAGGGGAAAGACGAACCACAAACGAGTGAAGCTGCTGCCAGGGCAAGAGTGTGCCAGAGGGGGGGGACCGACAACCGACAGTAAGAGCTCGTATGAAAGCAGCCACGACCCTACTACATACGCAGGTGGCTGACAGAGATTAAGGCCTGACTTCTGCTCCCGGAGGTTCCGGGTTCAAATCCGCCTGCCGACCCCTCGGTGTGTGTGAGGAGTGTTGAATTGGGAGGTGCCCCTCCATCATGCGGACGGTGTAGGACGTGATTGATTAACTTGCGTGATGACCAGGAACTATGTTGAAGCGCCGTTGATCCGCTAGATTTGGTTGGATGCTGGTGGTGAGTTGCCGAACCCAACGAATACATTCCGAAGTCGGATGGGTGAATGGATTAGGGTGCCCCTCTCGCAGGGGAGAGCAGGGAACTGCCTCCAAGGGAAAGGGGGCCGCTGGTGAAGCTGTACCACCCTGTAACAACATACATACGACCCTACTACATACGACCCTACTACAGACTCACCTCATGGACACATTTCGTGACAAGGTCCTCCGCGTCATGCTCTCCTCCTTCCGCAACGCAGCGGACATTGAGTGCATGCGACCCAACATCACACGTGACGGCGCGCGGCCAAGGGTGATGCCGCTGCCGCCGCTGCCGCCTCCGACGGCGCCGCCGCCGTTGCCGACGGCGCCGTCAGCCAAGCTGCTTCCCGCCGCCGTGACGCTGCCGCCGCACAGCGCCGCTGAGCTCGCAGCGCTGATCTGCCGCGCCAGCACCGCCGCCGACGCGGCCGCGGCGGCCGCCGCCGCTGGCGACGGCGCGTTGTTGATGCTGACGTGGTGTTGCAGCGCCGCCACAGGATCGGAGATGGGCAGCTCGTCAAACTCTAGTGGACCCTCTGGACGAGTCAGGACCGTACGAGCACGGCGGGATACCACTGCGGCCGCCGTCCTGCGACGAAGTGCGAAGAAAGATATCAAAAATAATAGTTTTAGTTAAAACAAATACATAGTTAAACACGGATAATGGTTACATGGATGAATAGGTTGATAAGCCGCTAGCCAAACATGTTGATTTCCGTGTCGTATAAACCCGTTGTTGGCGCGCAGGTATGGGGGAAGACGAACCACAAACGAGTGAAGCTGCTGCCAGGGCAAGAGTGAAGGAGGTATGGGGGCCCGCCGGGGGGTTGTGTTCCGCAGATGCCGTACGCGTTTGGTACCGGAGCTCCAGCACCACATCACATTGTCTCAGGCACCGAGGATCTCCACTGGTGTGGAGCACACACTTAGAAACGTCCCGCAATTGAAACAAGTACACATGTACAGGTGCATGTGCTTCCAAACCACACCCATGTCCAACCCCCCTCCCACCCTCCTCCGCCTAAACCCGAACTACTCACTCCCCCTCTCAAACCCCCCACTCACTCCCCCTCTCAAACCCCCCACTCACTCCCCCTCTC